TTGAATGATATGATTGAGAAGGCCCGCGAGCGGGAGATTGAGTTGGAGCTCCGAACGAAGCGGAAGCCAGAGTAAGTTCAGACAATTGTGGGTTAGGGTAAGAGAACGAAGACCTCCAATACCCACTCCAGAGGCCAGCAGAGCTGGGGCCATTGTGCCAAGTGCGGCAAGCCGCACAGTAGAGCTTTTCGATCAGCAGGTTCAGGATGTTTTAGTTGTGGCCAGTCGGGTCACGTGAGTCGGGATTGCCTATTTGCTTTCATTGGAATCATACCGACCATACAAAGGCCGATTGTCCGAGATTGTCTAGGGGAGCAGTGGTGGCACCTGCGTCAACCACCTTGAGGATTACCGATGGCCGCCAGGGCAAGGCGGAGGCTCCTGTGGTGAAGAGCACGACTTTTCAGCTTACCACCGATGAGGCCCGTGTAGTGCCGGATATAGTTACTAGTATGTGTTCTAACCCTATCTTTTATTGCTTTCCTTGTTTATGCTTATGTTTATTATGATCTTGTATAGGTACCTTTTTGGTCAATAGTTTGTCTGCTCATGTTCTATTTGATTCAGGGGTTACCCGATCCTTCGTATCTTTTGTGCTCAGTAAGAAGTTTCGAGACGCTCTGGGGACTTTGGATTCCCCTCTAGAGGTGGAGACTGCGGATAACTGTACCGTGAGTGCTAAGAGGGTTTTCCATGGGTGTTTCCTGAACATGTTTAGTGAGAGGTTCTCTATTGATTTGGTGTCGATTTCCTTGAGAGGATCGAAGGTTATCATTGAGATGGATTGGTTGGGCCCCAATGGGGCCATGACTGATTATGAGCGGCAGCTGGTGAGGGTTCGAACCCCAAGTGGGGGAGAACTGGTTATTAATGGTGAGAGAGCTTCGCATGGTCCAACTCTCTGTTCAGTTGCGAGGGGCAGGAGATATCTACAACATGGTTGTTCTAGGTTTCTCGCTTATGATTCTGATACGTAGGTTGAGGCCACGACGGAGTTGAGCAGGGTACCCATTGTGCAGGATTTTCCTGATGTCATTCCCAAGGAGTTTCCCGGAGTTCCTTCAGAGAGGCAGGTCGAATTTTGGATTGATTTGGTACCTGGTGCGGCTCCGATAGCCAAGGCGTCGTATCGCCTGGCACCGTCTGAGATGCAGATGTCAATGGTGCAGACCTAGACAAGGATTGTCGAGAGTTCTCCGTACCCTTTTGTAGAGGAAGGACTGCAGGATGCTTGACTTGAATTGAGCAAGGCGTTCCTCTATCCAATCGATGACTAGCCTCTGAGTAGGAAGAACTCTAATATGCATATTCTGCTAGTCTACCACATTCTTCAGAAGTTTGTACCAAGCACGTTCTGGCCAGCTCGGGAAGAAGAACGGGGCAACAAAACCGTTCCCACCCCACTCCCGATGATTGACGATGTGTTTGACCAACTTTAAGGTGCATCTTGGTTCTCCAAGATTGATTTGCGGTCAGGATACCACCAGATGAGAGTCAGGGATGAGGATGTGCAGAAGACAGCCTTCATAACTCGTTATGGTCATTACGAGTTTGTGGTGATGCCTTTCAGGCTCACCAATTCACAACGTTCATGGATCTCATGAACCGGGTCTGCAGGATGATGCTGGATCGATATGCGATTGTTTTCATTGATGATATTCTGGTCTACTCCAAGACCAAGGAGCAGCACGAGCAACATTTACGAGAGGTGTTGGAGACCCTGGGGAGGGAGAGGCTTTATGCCAAATTCTCCAAATGTGAGTTTTGGTTGCGCGAGGTGCAGTTTTTGGGGCACATCGTCAACCAGAAAGGAATCTTGGTCGACCCGACCAATATCGAGGTTGTGATGCGTTGGGAGGTCCCGAGACCGCATCGGAGATTTGGAGTTTCTTAGGTCTCACGGGGTATTATCGAAAATTTATCCAGGATTTCTCCAAGATTGTTATGTCATTGACCCGTTTGACAAAGAAGAATGTGACCTTTCGTTGGGGGCCTGATCAGCAGCTGGCTTTTAAGACTCTGAGGCAGAGATTGTGTGAGGCCCTGATTCTTGCGCTCCCTGAGGGTTTGGATGAATTTGTGGTTTACTACGATGCCTCTATCTCGGGTTTGGGAGCTGTTCTTATGTGGAGAAGTCACGTGATTGCTTACGCTTCGAGGCAACTGAAGCCTCATGAGGCGAACTACCCCACACATGATTTGGAATTGGGGGCCGTGGTTTTTGCCCTCAAGATATTGAGGCACTATTTGTATGGGGTCCGGTGTACTATCTACATCGACCACAAGAGTTTAAGATACTTAATGGACCAGGCGAATCTGAATATGAGGCAGCGGAGATGGCTGGATGTGGTAAAAGGATTACGATTGCAAGATCTTGTACCACCCTGGGAAGGCCAATGTGGTGGCCGATGATTTGAGCCGCAAGGCAACGAGCCCTTCTATCAGAGATGTCTGCTTGAGGATGATTGTCACCCCGCCTTTGTTGGATTTGATCAAGGAAGCTCAAATTGAGGGTTTAAAAAAGGAAAAATGGAAGGTTGAGCGTATCAGGGGGCAGATTCCCTTATTTATCAGGGATAGCCGGGGATTGTTGACTTAGTGTGGTAGAGTTTGGGTCCCGGTATCAGGTGGGGGTGAGACAGACGGTTCTTGAGGAGGCGCATAAGTCAAAGTTTCTATTCATCCGAGGGCCACACAAATGTACATGGATTTGAGGTTGAGTTATTGGTGGCATTCAAGAATATTCTTAAGTATTTGCGAAGAACAAAAGACGTGTTTCTAGTTCTTGACGGCAATGATACGTTAAGAGTGAGTGGTTACAGTGACGCCAACTTTCAAACAGACTAAGACAACTTTTGTTCTCAATCTGGCTGAGTATTCTTGTTGAATGGTGGAGAGATGACTTGGAAAAGTTCTAAGAAAACGACGGTGGTTGATTCTACTTTTGAATCAGAGTACATCGCAGCAAGTGAGGCATCAAAGGAAGTGACTTGGTTGAAGAACTTCACCGATGATCTCGGAATAGTCCCGACAATTCAAGAGCCAGTAGAACTATTATGTGATAATGAAGGCGCGATTGCTTTAACTATAGAACCGAAAGACCATGGGAGGTCCAAGCACATCGACAGAAAGTACCATTACATAAGACATAAGGTTGAAGATCGACATCTCTTGGTGAAACGAGTATAATCTGAAGATAATCCTGCAGATCTTTTCACGAAGGCTCTGAGCAGGGTCAAACACAACCAACATGTTAGGAGCATAGGCTTAAGAGACGATGTTATTTTTAGTAGTTATTTGATAGATTGAAACTTTGTAACAAAATAAATGTAGTTGATTTTGGTGATTGAATAATAGATAATTATTTATGAGTATGGGTACTACCTTCTTTAATTGTTTATTCTTGTATTTCACTTTGCATGTTTTACTTCCTAAATAATTTAATTATTCAAAGTTCCACAGTCGCTCATACTTTTGGAAGTAAGTAGTGAATTAAGACTTTCATGAATTGAATGTAGATTGTCCATAGAGACTGGACATTGCATAGAGATTGTTGTAATATTCATGAGTACTTAGAAAATAGAGATTTTAAGTATTGGATAAACCCACGCTTAGAGATTACTTCATGGATTCAGTCACGGGTAATTCTAAGACAACAATATCTTCTATTATTCAAACGAAGATATATAAGTTGTAATTTACAAGTCGATTGTGCATTGGTGTTGCGTAAATGCATCAGTACATGATCTTATAAAACAAAGTATCATGTATGATTTGATAAGTAAAGGTTACAATTAATGTAGTCAGAGTTTATTCGTTCCTTTTGCACTAACGGGAAAAACGATATGTGGGCCCATCAGTGATTTGATGTTGACATTATAGTGCTGGGCCCAACTAAGACTAAATTGATATGTTCAATTAGTATTTTTATGGTGTCATCACAAATCGGGAAATCAGGAAAAAAAATCTTAGACAATGAGATTGATTCTTATCCATGTCTCGTGTCCATAGGATATCATGAAGAACGAAGGAGTAGCTGATCACTTAGGGTCAACGTTTTGATTTGAATCATAGTTTGGTAGTGGCTTTGGAAAGCACACTTTGCTGTTTGGTTAAGGGTTATACTTGCAATTATAGTTATAGACTTATCCAAATGGTAGACTATTGGATTAAGGTGTCTAAGTTCATAACTAAATTGGTGTATTCTTGTAATTAAAAACAAAGTCATTTTTGGGTTGCCATAATAACTAGAACTTGGTTAGAATGACATTTGTAGAGAGATAATGATTTATTAATTTATTATATGATTAATAAATATAATAAATAATTTGTTAATATATTATATGATTAATATATTAATTTGAAATAGTAATAATTAATTATGAAGTAATTAGAAATTAATTTGAATTAATTTTAGGATTAATTAGAATTAATTCATAGTGCAAAGACTGAGCTTTATTTGTTTAAAAGTTGAACACGGGAAAGATTCCAGAACCTTCCCATATGGACGGTTTTGGGATGCCCTAATAGGGCATTTTGCAAGCCTCGTGATGATAAGGAAACTGGATACTCACACAGATTTGAAATATTATTATTATATGTTCAAATTAAGGTTTTTCAGGGTTTTCTAATTAGCTATAAATAAGACCTTGGAACCGAATAATGGTATTCGGTCTGGTTTTCGGTTCCTAGTTTACGGTATATTTGATTTTCGGTTTTTTTCGGTTTCGGTTCCAAACACCTTCTTAGATAACACATTTCTTAGTAGAACCGAACTGATTGGAAACGAATAGTGGTATTCAGTTTTTAGTTTATGTTTATTCGGTTTTCGGTTTTTTTTGTTCCAGTCCGGTTTCGGACCGGTTTACATGCCAATAATATATAATGGTTAATTAGGGTTTAGATTAAAAAAAATAACATATGATTAATTAGGATTTCCAAAGTTTAATTGAACTGAATCAGTTTTAGGGTTTATATTAGAAATGATACCAAATTGATATATTTAGTTAACCTATGAAAACGTATAAGTCCTGCTGATATGCATTTGATCCTTTTATCGTTTCCAAAGAACATACAAAACTGGAAACACCACGGAAGAACGACATAATTTACACTCGAAGCGTCGTGAACTCTTCAATATTTACTCGTTTGATAGGTAATCACCCTTCTGTGGCACTAAAGTTTGCGTGCAGCCGTAATTCCACATTTCAGTTCCATGTTCAATTTTATCAATCGTCACTTTCTTATGATTAACGATACCCTAGTTCCCTTTTCAGTCCCTGTAAATAAGACGGAATTCGATTATTCGTGTGTTCCTTTTCAAACATATGTTCAGGTTAACAGATTATAAGAATTAAATTGGTGATGCTAGATGTTGTTAGGTTGCTTTTGATCTGCATCTGCATCTGGTTTTCGAGGTGGTATAAGGGCTTATGAACTTTTGATTTCCAATTGCTCATGAGATAGAGTTACTGAATGAATATAAAGTTTTATCTTCTTGAAATGCGTATGGTGATGATCTTGCAGGAACATTTTCAGAGTTGTTCTTGTAGAAATTGATTGAGAACTAACTAGTACCTATGCTATGTTGCTTGCATTTTCAGTTATGGATAGACTTATATTCCATCTTTTAATAGGACATTATGAAATATCTTCCATTTAAGCTTTCTTAACAATTCTTGTTTGATAAACATTAGGTAAATTCGATTCCAATACATTCTTTTCTCAACATTGATTGTTATTCACTTATTCAACTCTCACTTCTTATTCTTATAGATCTGTTTCCAAGCTTCTAAACCAACATTAAATCAAACACCATCATGGATACAAAATCACTAGCAAAATCAAAGAGAGCACATACACAACATCATAAGAAGCATCATCATAATCAAAAGGCAAAAGCTACTACTACCTCTACAGGAGCCTCTATCACACTCAAGCCACCAGGGAATGTAGTTAAAGAACAACCCCCCCAATCTCATTTCTCACCTTCACTCCCCTCTAATTGGGACCGATATGAAGATGAAGATGAAGATGAAGATGATCCCATGACAAAAAGTCAAATACATGGTCAATCTAGTCAACAAAGTGACGTAGTTTTACCTAAAAGTAAAGGTGCAGACTATGCTTACTTGATTTCTGAAGCCAAATCCCAGAATTCAACGAGGTTTTCTTCAGATATCTTTCCATCTTTTGATGATTTTGTTTCTGGTAAGCTCTTATTTGATTCCTTCATGGCTCCTAATACACATGTCTGTGTTTGTGTGTGTAGTTTTTTGCATATAAAAAGTAAACATTTTTATATAGAAGGTTAAATCATTTTTGTTAGATTTTGATCAGGGGAAAGACTCCTTTCTTGGTGTAAGAGGAGAAAGCTTGGTATCATCAATTCAAAATGATAGTTTCTTTGTGGATGATAAGACACCTGCAAGCTATGAGGTATTTAATTGTTCATTTAACATCCTTTTATAGTTCATCTTATTGATTCTTTAATACACAATATAATTCAACTGATAATCTATCTCCCTTTATATGTGTAGGCTTCATTTCTATCACTCAATTTGCATGCTCTTTCGAAGCAGCTTGCAAAAATAGATTTACCAAAAAGGCTTTTTATGGAACCCGATTTATTCCCTCAAGATATGGTAAATAGCATTCTTCTTTCATTGGACTTGGATTTGTATAAATGGGACAAAATTTGCAATTACTCTAATAATTTGCTATTTTTATAATTTTTTTTTTCAGTATTCTGAAAGAGAACAGGAACCCGAACCATCCAAACCCACCACGAGCCACACTGGTGTGAACCCAATCGTGGACCCCACACCAAACCCGGTTCCAGACCCAAGTGAGATTCAATCAAAATTTGAACCGAAAACAGCTGAACTTGAACTCGATATGCTTTTGGATTCTTTTGTGGATGCTAATTTGAAGGAAAAGAAAGAAAAATCAAGGAAAGAAGAAACTGTAGCATTTGATATTGATGGGACCCTTGATGACCTACTTAAGGAAACGTCTACTCCTCCGGTTGAAATTGAAATTTTATCGGAGACTTCCCGAACTGTGTCCAATCCCAAATCTGAACTGCTTGATGATTTTGATTCATGGTTGGATACAATTTGATTATTTTTATTTTTATAAAAAAAGAAATATGTAGAATACGGAAAAATAACCTGGGTGTTACATTTGGATGAGTTATATGTCATTATGTGATTTTGGTTTGTTTTTAAATCGGGAAAAACGGAACGTGGATTTGAATCTACATGACCTTCGTATTGTGTTTGTTACATGAGACGTAAAGGCCAGAAGGTCAATGAGGATGAGAAGGAAAATGTAATTTAGGTATTAAACTGTTTCAGTCTAATGAATGTTAATGAATGTCAAATGTACTTAGTTTCTTGTTATGATATGTTTAACAAAGGGTTATTTCCATAAAAGACCCTATATTCTGACTTTTTTTCTTTTTAAACCTAAATTTTTTTTCTTTTCTAAAAAAGACCCAACTTTTATGTGTTACTTGTTATTTCAGACCTAGCAGGTCACCAATAGGTAAATTAGCTGGTTTTGTTTCATAAAAGACTCTATATTTTGTAGTTGTTTCCATTTTAGACCTAAAATGTTTTTTTTTTCAAAATAAACTCAACTTTAAAATCGGTTATAATCTTCGAGACCAAATATATAAGGTACTTCTTGACTACACCGAAAAAGAAAGTATACATGTATACATTAAAAAATGTTATCTTATCTATTATCTTTTGAGCGAATATAACCTAAAAGAATTGCAAAATTTTATTTTTGTCTAAAAGATATAATTAAACTTTATTTGGATAGATATATACTATATATATATATATATTATATATATATAGATTATCATTAAACATGAATATGATTATTTGTATAGAAAATGTTATTATTACCGATAATAAAAAGTTTGATGTTAATTTGATATTTTTTTTGGTAACATGGATAATACATGGCTAGAAGAATCTTTGAGCAAATAACAAATTTTTTTATTTGTAGAAAAAAAATACCATATAATTTGACAAACTGTATGCAAAATAATTTTTTTTAGTTTGTCTATTATACTTATTTGGTGAGTTTGGACATATTTCCCTCTCTCACTTTTCTATATTATTTTTTTGGCCGAATTTTTTAATCAATTTTTTTACAACAATTAACAAACGCACTCACTATCATACTCCTAAACCAAAGCCATAGAATATTTTTTAGCATTAGCCCATTATTAATAATATGTTATAATTATATCAAATAAATACATAAAAATATTAATCATAAACATTGTATGAGTTTGTTTAGATATGAGATTCAAGTTTATAAGACTTTCTTAAAAATTGTTAACATCACATATGAATACATAAAACTATATTTTGGGAATGAAACCGTTTGCGCATAAGTTGAAAATCCAAATAACAAGAATGATACCGTACATTTAAATATCAAAATACGATGGTTGACATTATTAACAATGGTTGGAATGTGGTGAATGAGCAAAACTGACAAACTATGAATTTTGTTGTAGATAAAAAAAAATTGAATAGTTGGCCTACTTCCTCATTTTATTAATCTATCTTATGTATACATGGTGTTTAGATCAATACATGGTGTTTGTATATCACTGTTATTGAATCTTAAGGATAACCATAATAATTACCAAAATAAAATTTAGGATTTCATTTTAATTTGAAAGGATATAATCACGTTTTTATGCATGAACGAAGTTAAGCTTCATTAAATCGGTGTAGTTAAGTACCTTATACAACAAGTGTTAAAGGTTGTAACCAATTTTAAAGTTGAGTTTATTTTGAAATAAAAAAAACATTTTAGGTCTAAACTGGAAAAAAGTACAAAATGTAGGGTTTTTTATGAAATGAAAATACTTTATTTCCCTTTTGGTAACCTGCTAGGGTCTAAAATAACAAGTAATAGGTAAAAGTTTGGTCTTTTTTTATTCAGTATTATAAAAACTTCTTTCATTTAAACTTCATTCTACACTTTCATAAGTATGTCACTTTAGATTTTACCATTGGTGGGGATGAAGTCCATAGTTAAGTTCTACACTTTCATAAGTGTGTCACTTTAGATTCTATCATTGGTGGGGATGAAGTACGTAGTTAAGGAGTTATATGCATTAAACAACAAACTACACATAAATGAAAAAACTAATATAAAGTAATAGCATTCTCAAGGTATGGAGGTTATGTTTGTGACAAACTACAGAGATTGAGTCATCTTCTTCGGCGGGCGGAGTGATGGAGAGACAGTGACATATTTAAAGAGGCAATAGGGGGCATGTGCCCCCAATGACAAAAATTTAATTATATCAATAAGCTACAATGGTGATAGGAAAAGGACCAAATATGTTTGATTTTGAAGTCATCGGGATACTTGTACTAATTTCTCAAAATTTGGACTATACCTTGCAAAGTAAGGTAAATCAAAGGGACCATTTGCAAAGTAAGGTAAACCAAAGGGACCATTTCTGTATGATATCTTGCATAACTCTTATTACACTTCTCGCCGCTGCTGTTCGGATCTGTCATCGTCGCCGGTTCTTCTCCTCTCGTGTAATCGTCGCTGCATTTCTCATCTCACAAACACAGGTATTGTTGCTGCTTTTCGTACTTTCTTTGACAAACCCTAGTCGGGGTTTCTTTTTATATGGATCAAACGATGATTGTGCCAGTTGGCAAAACCCCCACAAAATTTGGTCATGGTATTAAAAAAGTTTCAAACCAAATGATTTGGTTTGCATTTTCGTCTTTGAATACTGAATGACATGCCTTCATTTTATTATCGATTAATGTTAGCCATCAGATGTAATACAAATTATTCTTGAATGATTGATATGCAACGTATACATACTTGGTGAAACCTAATTCCATCACCGCTTTTTCCCCTTCAGTAACTCAAGCCTCGATCACATGCCAGCATTTTAATCGATTAATACTTCCATCAGCTGGGTTCAGACATTTCAATTGGTTCAACGATTCATTCAGCCCTCACGACTGAAGCGGTTTCATCGGCTGCAGCCTTATGGTATGATTTTCTACTTCAGTTTCTGATATATAATTTGATTGAAACCCGCCATTTATGATGACCTTCGGTGCTTTGAGTTTCTTGTTGATGCGGCTAGTGTTATAGTATAGTATATGTTCATTAGTTGTTGGATCATTGAATATAGTCTCTCAATGTTAATTTTTGGTTTTTCATTTTTCCACTTGTTTGAAGTCAGGTTCATGAGTGTGGATTTTGTGCTCTTAACCAGTTTAGATATAAGCACTCAATGTTGTTTCTTCAACTGTTTTAAACCATTTTAAACCAATCTGATCATATGGATAACTTTGTGTTTGGGCTTTTTATCAGGTATTAAAGATATAATTCAGAAAGATGCGATTGCTTGCTCATGCATTATCCCAACTCTCCACAAATTCAAGAGCCACACAGTTAAAAAGCATCACAAATTCATTAGCTTATAATTTCAGTTTAAGCAACCGTTTTCTTTCAACTAACAAAGGAAACGAAGGTGATATTGATTGGGGCTCTGCATCAACTTGGTCAAGTGGGCTCACTAAAGAGCATTTTGATGGGGAGGTTGTAGGCCACAAAGTAGGCGGCAATGATGGCGGTGCTGGTGGTGTTGGAGGTGGAGGAGGAGGGGCATTAGGGTCATCTCAAATTGTACCTACAAGTTGGAATGATGATGATGAAATGCAAAAGCTAAGGAAAATGGCAGCTGAAGCTTCTAGAAAAGATGGTGAGTTTGCAAGTAAATGGAAGGAAAGGATGCGTGAGACTAGTTTGTTAATGAAACAGGTGATTGAGCCAGGGGCAAGAGGGTCATATTTGAAAGATTCAGAAAAGGCTGAAATGTACCGGCTTCACAAGGAGAATCCAGAAGTTTACACTGTTGAGAAATTAGCAAAAGATTACAGGATCATGAGACAAAGAGTGCATGCTATTTTATGGTTGAAGGAAGATGAAGAGAAAATGGAGAAAAAACTTGGACACCCTCTTGATGATTCTGTTGAACAGTTGCTTGATAATTTCCCTGAGTGAGTCCTTCATATTAATTATTTGTTCAAAAGACCATAATACCCTTATGAATGAATGTTTTTTTTTGCAGATTCTTTGATTGGCATGATAGGGAATTCCATGTTGCAACTTTACCATATAAGCCAGATTTCAAAGTGATGCCAGAAGGTTGGGATGGAAGCATTAAGGATCCAGATGAGGTGTTGTATGAGATTTCAATGAAAGAAGATGAAATTTTATATCAAGAATTTCTTGAGAAATTCAATTTTAACAAGATGAAGGTAAATATGACAAAAGAAGTTAATATAATATAATATAAAAAGTTAATATAATAGAGAAGAAATAAATGAAAGTATGTTGGTATGATTATTATGACAGATTGAGGGGAAGGTGAAAGTGCATAAGTACAGCAGGAGGCGTCCCACAGAGGGATGGGAGATTACAGTTGAGAAGATGGGCCCACGTGGGAAGCGGGGTGATGGCGGTGGTTGGAAGTTCAAGAGTTTGGCTGACGGCTCCACCAGACCACTTAATGATTATGAGAAAATGTTTGTAAAACGAGAGAAACCAAGAAGGAGACGCAAGATTCTACACCCAAAATAAATTCTCGGATATTTTAGGATTTAGGATTTGATTCCACCTTTTGTTTTTGTTTGTGTCAAATGTAGTGGCACTATCTTTTTTTGTTTGTTTGTTTGTTGGATCCTACTCTACTATATAAATGTTATGCCAAAGCCGAAACGTTTGAGCACAAGGGTGTTTATGTGGTTGGTATGCAAAAAATTTGAAATGAAAGAGAGTTTGTTTTTGTTTCATGTCTTTGGAATAAAACTTGGTAATTAAGATATTGACCTTAATAACCACATTGTTGCTTGTTCTAAAAACCGTTGACAATTTTTTTTGACTTTTCTGCAATTGATCACGATGTGCGAAAATCGAGAATTTTTGAAATCATCGAACTACTTTCAGAAAAAGTTTGAAAATTCAGCGAATTTCAAAAATTTAGTATTTTGAATTAGGGTTTTTTTTTTAAATATTTATAAATTAGTTTAAAATTTCAGTATTTTATTATTTTCAGAAGTGTTAATGATTTATAATGATAATGAACATTATTCTGTATACATTTAGTCATTTATGTTTTTTTTTGTATGCATAATCAAAAACTTATCTACAATGTTTAAAAAATATCATTACGATTGGTTATTATAGGTTTAAATTTGTCTTTTTGCATGTTCTTCTTTGATTGGTTGTTATAAGCAATGGTGTGAAGGCTTTACCCACCCTATGACCACCATGTCACCACCCTTTCATGGTGGTTGAATGGTGTTGCATTTTCCAATTCTTTTTAGTGGGTATTAAGTGCTTAATGGGTTTGGATTGAAGACCAAACCCATAAATCTCTTCTAATGAACATTAACTGAAAAAGTATGAGTTATACATTGATTTTTGGTCAAACTCTTATTCTATTAAGATGCTCTTATTATACATTTCAATATGGATGTTTAGAACTTATATCTTAGTGGAATTGATGGCCATGAGCTTAATAGTCAAGTGGTTATTAAGTGGGACAAAAAAAGGAGTAAAACATGGTGGCATTGTGATTTAAAGAATCCATCTCATATCTTTCAAAAATTATATGGTACATGCTAGTCCATTTTAATACCATATATCCTAAGATCATAACCATTCATTCTTTTTATCTAATGGTTAGAATTTAGTTACATATTGACACACAACCTTATATATATATATATATATATTATATATAATATATATATATATATATATATATATATATATATATATATTAATATATATTATATATTATATATATAAGAGAGAGAGAGAGAGAGGTTCATATGTTTTTGACAACTATTGTGTGTATGTGGGAACCAATGAGAATTTAAGAAAAAGTTAATTATTAATTAAACTATAAAAGGTAGTTTAGTCATTATGCATACAATTGAATTATTTTCCAAATTTATAATCCCTGATATGATCGGTTACCTTTAAATCACGTCTGTATCTCATTAACCTAACCCTACGCGTCTTCATCAACAATCGATCCTTGAAGAGATGAGGACCACAAGTGCCCTCTGCACCGACGATGATGTGTCGATTAAAGGAGGGAACCCTCTACCCCTTTCTTGTGTGTGCAATCGAACCATCAAAGTCGTTCCCTCACCTCCATCACAACAACCCTTCATGGAATTCTAGGGCTCAACCCATCAATCGTTTTCTGGTAAGAGAAACACAAATACACACAGAGGTATAGAAGAAATTTCAAAATCGATTGGAGATATAATTGGAATGATTTTGTCATCATATAAATTCTGATTTTTGTTATTGGTTCTCATATTGGAATTAGGTTCTCATCGTATCCATCCCATGTCAGATGCCCTCCCCTGTGTTGTTAGAGTAGAACCTGCAGAATATAGTCAAGGTATCCATGAGACCTCGTCAATAGCATTCGAGAACAATACCCATAGTCATCACCGATGAGGTCAAGACAAACCTCAACTGTCGATTCATCTATTTTTCTCTGTTACCGTTGTTCACTTGGTAAGTTTCCATTGCTTTTTCTGTTTTAACCTAATCCTCATTTGTTTCATGGACTTGCTCTATTTTTTTTTTTACAAAATTTTGAACCCCCTTACAATCCAAGTTTGCAAACCTAATTACTAAACCATAGAAACCAACAATTGAAGTAATCGATGGTTGCAATAAACCTCTGTCAAGTGACAACGCTATGAACTTTAACATTTCATTTCTAATTAAATAAACTAAATTTATGAATTGATATGACTTTAACATTATAATGAAGTCAATGTTCCACTTTTTGTTGTATTAGAGGTTTGATTAATCTTTTTCTTAATCAGTTTAGATCATATGGTGTTGTAATGGTTTGGATTCTCATGAGGACCAAAAAATAGTTGTTCTGTAGGCAACATTAATCTTCAAGTCTATGAAGTGCACATTTGTACCGGTAACATAAATATAATTGTTTTGTTACTTAGCATTTCTGATTATGACTTTACGTTTTCTACTAGAATTATTCTTTCAGAATGAGATATATGTATTGTTTGTTAGATTTATAAAAGTCTAAAAGAATTGAGGTTGATGATAAAATTCTATCAGAATTTTAGTTATTTTTATATTTTTTTATTCTCTTAGAATGCACTGAAGTTTGTCCCGTTGACTTTGACTTTGACTTTTGATGTATATCTTTGACCAAGTTTGTACCGAGGGGTGTTGTTTTGGATTTAAGAAAAATATGGGCTTAGGATAAGACCCATATGGGGCTGGGCCCAATTCAGAAAATTAGGCCATTAGTGGGTCTTTGTGGATCTTTTGGTTTTGGGCCTCAGTTTTTGGTGTATGTTGGGTCAGGGGTAGAATGGTCATTTTACCCTAAGTATGGATTATGGATTATGGCATGGAACCCAATTGTTAATTGGGTGTGTTGATTGGTATTGATAGCTCGGGAAGCCGGCATGGCAGCAACTAGTGATTTCTTTCGGGGAGCTTCTGCATTCGAGGTGAGTTCTTCTCACTGTACTTTTGGGTCGAAGACGCTAAGGTCGGCCCATTAGATTAGATATCCTGTTATGTGATAGTATGTTAATGTTCAGTAGTGGTTTGTTAGATCGGTATCCTGGTTTATAGGATGATGCTATGAGTAGTGATCTGTAGATCTGCCTGTCTGCCTGTAGACTGTTTATATGTTTATCTATTATGTGTCGGCATATTAGGTTGGGTTGAGGTTGTGCTGCTTCGTGCTGTAGCCAACAAACCCTGGAGCATTCCAGATATGAGCTCAAGGTCGGGTAGAGCATGCCAGACTCATACTGAGGGCTCAATAGCATTCCAGATACGAGCTGAGGACCCGGTTGGTATGCCAGACTCGTACTGAGGGCTGAACATTGGTAATTCAGTCCGATGACTGATCGGTACAGGGATCAAGCCATACATAAGCTGTGGGCCCGAGGGAAAGCCAGACTTATGATGTGGGCTCAGAAGCAAGCCACATATGAGTTGTGGGCCTGTTAGGCAAGCCAGACTCATACTGTGGGCTTAGGGGTAATCCAGTCTGTTAGCTGTGGACCCATTACATGATGTTATATGTTTATGTTATATGTTTGGGTGTTGGTATTTTAGGGGAAAATCACTAAGCTTCGTGCTTAAAGTTTTGGTTTATGGTTTCAGGTACTTCAGTAGATCTTGGCAAGGTGAAGGCGTGACCGTACACATCCTCGCGTTTGAACTGATGATTTCTGGGAATCTCTGATAATGTGAATGTTTTGAAAACTATGTTGAAAGAGATACTGATTTTAAATATTGTTTTGGGAACAAAGGATTTTGTAAATACTTCTATTTCAAAAGGGTTGCTTGAAAAGTTTAAATTTTACGAAATTTTTATGGATGTTACAAGTTGGTATCAGAGCCTTGGTTTGAGTGAATTGGAGGAACATTCATGAGAATCCAGACTCAAACTAAGTAAAAGATTTTCAAAATGATTTCCAAATGGTTTTCAAAATACTTAAGGAGGATGTGATGTGTACGATCAGCCGGAGCCAGTAAGTAGACCCCAAATTACCATACTGTTATTTGATATTGTGATATGTTAGAATAGCATGCTAGTGATAGGCTAGGGATCTTTAGGAATTGCATGGTAGAATTGCCTGATTATATGATGTCTGATAGCCTAGGGCCCTTCTTTTATGAAATTGACACCATTGATGTAGTTGCTTAGTGTATGCATCATGGTTATATATAACTAAGATCTTATAGCCTGAGAATGTTTAGTTTGGCCTTATTTCCTGTTCTTGTTTGATGAAGGGCTTAGGGTAGGATCAGATATTCGAAAGTCTATAGGGTCCAGTGTTATGTATTGCTAGCATACACGAGTGTTGCAGGGTTGGTGGAAGTTTCATGGATGAGTCGTATGGGGTCATCCGACCAGTCGCGTTATTGGATGAGGTAGTGTGGTTTCCTTGGTTTGGGTGCGGTTCATAGCGGGTCGGCATGAGGAAGTATTAGCCACTCTTGAGAGAGTGAGGGCAGGGCGAAGATGCACGCGAGATGCTGGGAGTCTGAGATCGAGGATTTCATGGGAGAATCTGTATGATCTTATTGCATTTTAGTGTCAGTCGATTCCTCTACACGAATGTTGCTTACTTTGTGCTTTGTGGAACTCATGAGTGATGTGAGTTAGCCATTAAGTGAATATGTCAAGTCACATGTGGAAAAGGTTGGATAATATCAGAGTGACAGATTTGACCCCGCTACATAGCTCTTGTCTGAGTCCAACCGTTGTAGGGATGAGCCCGTTACTCGAAGGATTATCTGAGCTTTGTCGCATGTGATTGTATTCATGGAATGGATAATTGAAACTGTGGGGAGTTCTTCAGCAGTTGATGGAAGAGAAGTGTGGAATCCTAGGATAGCCTAGGGATCCCTTTAGTGCGGTTGTTTCGTTGTTGAGCAGGATTCAGGAATATTGTGACCAGGTCGTAGAGGACCCGAGATAATTCTTGAGGAAAGTATGGATAGGTGTGGAAGGTAGTATTGGGCCCGTACTACTGAAAGCACAGAATCCATACTCGATTCAAGGAAGATTTCGGGGAATCTAAGGGCTGGTCAGGGAAGATAGCATGGTTCGGGGAAGTGGTTCGGTAATTGTTGATCTTTTGGCTTGGGTTGCTCAGGCGAGGATGGATTTTGTGTTGTTCAGGCCCTTGTGGCAATATTGATGTGGGTTGAATGGTTCAGACCCAGATGAGTATGTTGATTGGAAGTC